CATTATAGATGTTGAAATAACAAATAACATTTCAGTGTAGAGGAAATTGAATGGAACCAAAAAGTTTGTTCATTATATCTGGTGACTGTTATAAACAGTATCTGCTATGCCAGGGTTTGACCGCATTACTCAATGAAATGATAGTAGCACCAGGCAGGAATGTAGGTGAAAGAGGTGCCAGATTATCCTGTGCGTAAAACCATCTAATGCCTAACTGTTAGACTTTACTTCTTAATTTGTGTATCATTAATTGTTCTGAAATTAGTATAATATTCCACTTTGGATTGATTATAGGATTAGTATAGTATTTTGTTGTTAAAGAAAATCAGAATACACATCTTACATTTATCTTCTGTGATTATTCCTTATTTCTTTTGAAAATATGTTTTCCAAAAACACGTCATGAGACCAGCAATTTGAGATCTCAGGATTATGATTATGGTAGCTGCTCTGTGCACTGACATAAAGTATTTTCATTAGCATGTTTTCTTATGATGTCTTGTGTTAGGATTTTACTTAATACATTGTGTAATTTTATACTTTGTGTACAAGTAATTTTTGTGTGATTTTACTTAACCCTTTCCGGCACGTTACCTTTTAAAGTTGGAATTTGGGGAGGGGAAAAAAAAAAAAAGAGGTAGGCCATCTAATCAGGCTTAGAGGAGTACACAGGTAAAATTTTGTGAAGATAGCACTTATTGTTTTAATTCTGTCGATGTGCCCAAAGCGGTCACACTGAATGAATAGAGCTTCGAAGTAAGAGATTTTGCCTACGATTAAAAAACACTAAATTCTGAATACTGTAGTAGATTTAGCATTACCCAGGGTGTGCCAGGGGAAGGCCTGCTATTCTGCAACCCCTGAAAAAGCTCTTCTTGGTTATATGATGATTACATGTGTATGAATGGAAAAAAGGTAACTTGGGTATATGATATTTACATTATTTGCATTTCATATTTACACTTTTGTCTAATTTTTTCATGGTGGTACTTTTCGAAGAAAGTGACACCACTTTTGAAAAAGCACAACCCAGTATTGCATGTTTCGCACATGTGCGGGGATCCGTATCAGATTCACTATCTGAAAGCAATTCGTGTAGCACTTTCAATGCTTCAGAAATAGTCAGCCCTCTCCAATCCATTTGGAAAATAATTTAAAATCTGAAAAATTACTAATATGATATCTTACAATTTGAAATTATAAACTATAAAATAAAATTAAATAACATCTACAACTCAAAATTATTAAACGTAGTGCTAACAAAACGTATTTGAATGAAAGGAACAACAAAAAAAAAAAAAAATAAAGAGAACCGCTCTAGTAAAAAACCAAATAGCTAACTGATAAAATTACCCCTGACCTTCAGAAAATCACCCCAACAATTTCTTAGTTGATAACCAAATGTCCCCCCCACGGGGTTTAAAAAAAACACTGAGGGAGACAAAAGAAGAAAGAGAAAAACAGGAAATGAAACACAGATGTGGACCCACTGGAAGATTTCTTTGAAAAATGAGGATCTTAAAAAATTAAACATGCCTAAAATATATGGACGGGTTTGTCTTGGGCTGCCATCTACTATAAATAAAGAAGGTTCATTCAGAGTAACCTATACTTCTTTTTCATTCAATTTTTCTGTGCGTACAGAAGGAAATGTTTTAGGTGCCACAAAGGGTTAACACTTTGTGTAATTTTACTTTGTGTACAAATAATTTTACTTAATACTTACTTGTATTAGGACTTCACTTAATTCTTTCATCTATTGCAAGAATACTTTAATGAATACAAAGTGAAATTAATTTTGTTTAAAAGAATCAAGGAAAAATTACAGTTTCTTATGACCTACTGCCAATAAGACAGTATAGTAATAATATGTTTATTTAAATTTTTGTGTTGTGTAGCTGCTGTTATGACATATTTATGAAGAGGAACCCACTTAAAATGAGCTTTAGGAGCCCTTTGTATTAAGGGATGCTTCATAGCCCTCCATGTCCCATTCCAAAAGGTTCATGCGTTAACAAACTTTGAATGGTACTTTCTGATTATTTTCACTCCGAATTTCAATGTGCGGTTGAACTGCCCTGTTTTCTAGTCCAAAAGGGCTTTGTCCCTGAAGGATTATTGTTTTCGTTTTGCGATTTTGCTTTGATTTACTACAAAACGGGAATCACTTTTCAAACTGATGCCACAAAGTATTATCGCCGTGTTATATTTAAAGAAATTAAATAATGAAAAATCTGCATAAATGAATGTATATTTCTCTCATTGTGATAAAACAACGGTACTTAAGAGCCATCGAATTTTGAATGACGTAATCCTCCTACGAATATGGGCATGTGGAAGACCAAATTTGAAGTTTGGAATTTGTTTTATTATCGATTTCCCATTTTGTAAAACTTTTAACAAATTTTTGATTAACAAACTCAAGGATTTCAAAGCGAGACATGGCAACGCTGTACAGAAAAAAACATTTTTATCTCCAGCCCATGAGTCTCTGTCTCCGAAATTCAAAAGATATGCTCATTTTAAAACTATTTTGGGATATTGCTATTGAACTGAATTTTATGGTTTAAGTAGGAAGAACGCGATATTTAATAAATAAATGTAACACACAAAATGTTAAAAAAAAACCTCCTTTGGACGTAATTTAAAATCTGAAACACTTCAGATTTTCTTTCTTTCTTTTTTTCCCCCTCATATTTTAAAGTATACATGCTATAATAACCGGTCTACCTATATTTGACACAGGAGGATTTACATGATTTGTTTTAACTGCTGTTTCATTGCACAGTATCCATAAGCTTTAAATATATAATTTAATGCAATTAAAAATAAAACTAATTTAAAATTCAATGTCCCCTGGATTTTAAATACTGCTGAACTGGAAACTTTAAAAGAAACTGAACTGCTGAACTTTTGCGCGAAAAACTTTAAAAGGCTGTTATCACTTTTCAAATTGTTGCCACCGTATATTATCGCCCTGTCTTATATTTAAAGAAATTAAATAATGAAGAATCTGCTTAAATGTATGTATGTTTCTCGCATTGTGATAAAACAACGGTACCTAGAGAAATCAAAATTTGAATAATGTAATCTTCCATGGAATTTGGGCATGTGGGAAGCCCTAATCTGTATTTGAAATTTGTTTTATTATCGATTTAAGATTTTGTAACACTTCAACGAATTTTAATTAAAAATTTTCGATTAAAAAACTAAACGATTTCAAAGTGAGCAATGGCAACACTGTACGGGGGGGGGAACATTTGTATCCCCGGCGTGCGAGATTCTGTATCGGAAATTCTAAAGATATGCTCATTTTAAAATGAATTTGTGATATTGCTGTTGAACTGAATTTTATAGTTGGAGTACGTAAAACATGATATTTAATAAATAAAGGTAACATACAAAACATTAAAAAAACGCCCCTTTAAACATAATTCAAAATCTAAAAACGGTTTTTCATGCATATAATTGAATTTTTTTAAATTTCAGTTTTTAATAAAAGTCTTGATTGTATTCCTTTTATATTAAAAACTCTAGTAAATGTTACCACATTCAGCAGTAAACAAGCATAATAGAAAATCCGTTGGAGAAAGATCAATAATTCACGGCTATAAATGCAGAGAAATCTCATAAATATCTGCTTGTTTATTCTAGAATGTTTTGTGTGATACTTCATGTCATCTGAAGTAAATTAATAGAATAACGGCTTGATTCTTTTAACATTCGATGCCAAAACCCGATAAATCAGTCGTTTGTTTATGGGTGAAAGGGAAAGGAAGTGAAAACCGAATACTGAGAGGCAAAACTGTTGATCATTTCGGCCCGGGGGGGGGTTGGGAGCGGTTAAATCATCTGAAGTACTTGAACAATCTGCCAGTTTAAGAGGTTCTTTGGGGGGGACAAAAAATATCCTGCTTATTTCATACGAAATTATTTAATAAAGATAAAATGCAGTATGCACTATATCTGATTTTTTTCCCGTATTTTTACGAGGTTAATTTATCAGCTAATTTCCTAGGAAAAAGAAAAAAAAAAAAAAGTGGAAACATTGATAAGTTGTTATTCAGGATCTTTTTGGTTTCAGAAAATTGGCCTTCTAATATTTTATCAGTATTACTGTGTCAAGTATTGATTAATAATAGCATTTGTATCCTTTAATTTATTTAAATAATAGAATGATTAATAAATAGCTATAACATCAGTTTGTCTTTCTAAATTACTTGAATGTTTGCTTTATTTTGTGCTGAGGATTTCTATTTTTAAATAAGTTGCTTTAAATATATAAACGCAAATAAATTTGTGTACAAGAATTTGAGAGAAATATTACAGCTATCTAGAGCTATTTACAGTTTTCCGAAGCATAGTTAACTTTTATTTTTAAATATATTAAATAACAGCTCGTTTTCATAATTTCACTAATTCCTCATTTTAAATGGTAGCAAGTAAAAACTACGAGTTCAAAATAAAACTTATGAGCATGTTATCTTATTTACTTTAGCATGTTATAAAATACAATGTAGGACAGAGAAAATACCACACTATGAATAAGTTATTTGATAAAGCCCAGACTTTGTGCATAATTAAATAGTCAAGCACTTAACAAATAGTTTAATTTTCAAAAATGTACAAAGAGTAGACAGACAGTATTAATTTCATGCATTACTTTATTGCATCTAATCAGTGAGTCCCTGAATAATAATATCCTGCAGTATGTATGGAAACACATTATTGATAACTCCACAGTTCTCTTGTTGAAATATGGTCTTGGGATCCCTTGACGATATAGTAATATAGGTATAGTATTTCTCTCACATTCACCTGATCTGTCACAAAATGAACATTTGTGGAATATAACTTCCACAGATAATTAGATGTCAGTGATTTTGCTTCTTCATAATGTCTTTTCCCATGTCAAATACTTGAAACAAATAAAAGTGCTTGTTTTCTGTTTATGTGAATTTCTGTTTGATGCACTGATTGATTTGTTTAACTTATTTTAGCTAAACATGCAAAGGCTGTCTTCCCAAGAAGAAAGATGCTTCTGTGTGGGACTGTGTAATGAAAAACGACTTGTATTCACTCTGGACATGAGAACAGGGATAAAAATGATTTGATACCTTTCTAAAATATTAACAGGAGACATTCCATAGATTGCTATATTTTCATAGTTCAGTACACAACAAGGAGACATCAAGTGAACTTTCTTCGATAAAGATTCTAAATGAACTTCTAGAAAAGTTTTCATTTAGAACTAATTGTTTGTTATGTGAATTCGCCTGCTTTCATTTTGTAACTGCTGACTTACTTCTACTGTAGCATTATATTTTTGTAATAATGTATGCTGTTGTCCGTCTTTGTAGTTTATAATAGGTTTTTAAAAAAAAAAAAAATTTATGAGATTGTGTATTTCAGTTATTTTTTTGTATTAATAATTTCCCTTTTTTTCTAAACGACTGAATCATAAATTCTTTTTCATATCCACACTGGAATATACACACAAAATACAGTTCATGACATTAGTAACACATCATTGTACATGTGTAGGATTTTGAAATGAAAAACACAATTTTAAAGTGAAGTTAGTTTGAGCTTTATATTTCTGACTCAGAAAAATAGGGGAAATCTGTGGCTCAGTAATTCTGCATCCTAGTATATTGTGCAACTATTGAAAATCGAATAATCACATGAATGTTGAAACTAATACTGAAAATCTACTCATTGTTATATTAGAAATAAGGTTAGTTATAGGAAGGTTGTTATTTATATTTCTGGCATTGGCAACAGTAAATGTTGCTAGGCAACCGCAGACGATTCCAATCGAAAGTCTGATATTTTTAACCATAATTTCTTCAGAACGTTTTGCCACTTTAGCGTGATTTGTGTTATTTACAGTAAATTGAAAAATGCATCTCCGGCAAAAAAATGGAACATTTTTGTGCTATTATTTTGCATAACTTTGGACGTGAATTATCAAGACAAGAGTGCTTCGAAGAACTTGATTCTTTATACAGCGATAAAGCACCATCCTACAGCACTGTAAAAAACTGGTATAACGAATTCAGTCGTGGTCGACGTTCGCTTCAGGGTGAATTCCGTGAAGATCGTCGAAAATCGGTTGTTGTGCTAGAAAATATCGATGCTGTGCTTCAACTGATAAAGCAAGATCGTCATGTGACATATCGTGAGATTCACGCATCTTTGGCGATTAATTTGACAAGTTGCATTAAAGGGTGTGTATAAGAGTGTTAAGTATAAGGGTGTTAGAGCAACGCAAAATGGTCGATTCCGAATGGTACACGACCATTTGTTTGCCAGAAATCATCGGAGAAATTCGAAAAAAAAAAACAGAAGAGGAGAATCGTTCTTCATCATGACAGTGCAAGCTCTCACATATCGTTTCATACAAAGGAATTTTGACGGCCCAAAACATCGAATTGATGGGTCATTCTCTAAACAGCCCAGATTTGGCGCCCCATGACTGTTTTTTATTCTCGCACCAAAAATAATTACGTGGTCAGCGATTTTCAACACCCGAAGAAGCGGTTGATGCATTCAAAACGCGTGTTGTGGAGTTACTCAATCGAAGTGGAAAAATTGCTTCGAAAATGGGTTCAAACGCATGCAAAAGTGTATTGATCTTCGTGGAGAATATTTTGAAAAACAATAAGAGCCGTTTCCATCATAAACATTTGTTTTTTCGTTATTAGGCCAGAAATATAAATAGGAATACTCGTATAGTATTTTTCAGTTAAAAGTAAGACACTCTTGTCAAAACATGCTGCTTTCTTTTCTTTTTCAAAACACTTCTTGTCATTTTTTTTTTTTAAGCTTACAGGTAATTGCCTTTTTTTTTTTTTTTTTTTTTTTTTTTTTAATTTAAAAAGGTTAAAACTGAAGTTGTATTGACCTTTATATTTCGGAGTAGACAAATGAACATTCTGCAGCCGTATTTTTTATTCTAAAATTATTTTATCTAGTTTTCCATTATCGTGTTTTTGCTAATATTTCATTAAAATTATTGCATTAATTACATTACTTAAAATACATATTCTCAAAGTAAAGGGTTATAGGATTCTTTTTTTTTTTTTTTTTTTTTTTTTTTTTTGTAGGTTAAAAGAAAAAAATATCTGATATGAATCCGAATTTAACGAATCTCGGCGACGGAAATGCTGTAAAAATAAATAAATTACCGTAAAACTAGAGTAGGAAAATTTATAGATGCCAAAAGTAAGAGGAGAATTGTAATCAACACCCGCTTTAAAATATAAATATTATTGCATCTTTAAAAGAGTGTATTTATTGAGCTGTCTTGATATCTCTGCAGAAATGGCTAATAAATTTTATCGTGTATCCGGATTCCTCCCCCCCTTTTTTTTTGTAAGGATTGACGGCTAACGATAAAAAAAAGTGTTCTTGGAGCAAGCGCTAAAAATTTCATGTTACGTAATTTGAAATGTATCCAATAAAATAAACTTTTGGGCAATCGACTTTTTTTGTTTTTTATGAGGTTCTCAAAGGAACGTTTTGAATATCGAAGGAAAATAACAATTCAGATTAGGTGAAGAAGTCACTTTGTCGAGTTCCTGGGCATCGGCCTAACGTGCGTCCAAAGAGTGAACTTAGGTGAGCATCTTGAGCAAGTATAGTGTAGCAGGGAGAAAATAGCAATTCCTATGTAGTCATTTCTTATGTATATGACATTTCTGGATAGCAGTTATAGGCAATAGTAGCTGAAGAATTCTGGGTAAGTACAACTTAGTAGTGATAGTAGTTCAAAGAATACGGTTATTATCTAGTTACTTAAGAGCCATGAAACGAACACCTTCCTTACTCACTTAATATACCCCCAGAGTTAGTACAAGTCTCTGTCTGCTATAGTCTGAAAACAGCAGTTCGTGTAATGCAAATGCGCGGCATACGAATTATTATTTGATATTCTTGAATTTCCTTTAAAAAAAAAAAAAAAAACATGTATTGCTTATAATCTTGTATACCAGCAACATCCAAGTTAGTTTAGCATTTTCCTCGGAGTTGTGGATATAGCGGCTTGTATAAATTTTACCATCTAGGTATTTTATTTAGATATATATATATATGATAGCATTTTCTATTTCGGGATTTTTATATTCTTACTAACTTCTTTTTAAGTAATTGTATAATTGGTATGATTTTATTGTATACTTTCTTTTTCATCAACTTTTTTTTTCATCTAGAAATCCAATTCATAGAAATATTCCTAACACTTTGTGTTTCTGAAACTCCTAAACGTTGTTCTTATATATTTGTATGGTTTGTGTTCTTTTAATATGTTTTTTTGGCGCCTGAAGTCAAGAAATGGGATGGTATTTTCCTATTATATGATGGGTATATTATTATTTTTATTGGAAATTTTGTGCAAAGAATTGTATAGTTTGAAGTTACAATTCTACTGTAGTATGTACTATTTATTTATACACACGCGAGCACGTATTAGTGAAATGCGTTATTGCTCAAAGTAGTGTTTTAAAAATGTGTCAAGAGAATTTTTGCTAATTAATAATATGTCGAATGCCCATTCTCATAACATGTCTTTTACTTACTGTGTGCGACTGAACAAGAAATATTATGGAGCATTTTTTAAGTGCAAAATATATTGCTCTAGTTGATGATAATCAGTTTTAGCCGTGTAGTATGTATTTAATTCAAAGGAATACAAGTAAAAGGTATAGTTGATGTGTACCTGATATATATGGTAGTTTATTTGAAAAATATGTAAAGTACTGTATTTGCGTTACATGATCATCTTTCATAACGTACTGAAACAAGTTTCTTGTGAATCGGTTAAGAAACTAATAAGATTTATGCTGTTTTTTTTTTTTTTTTTTTTTTTTTTTATTTTTTGGTACGATGTGATATTATATGCGCTTTTAGTATATGCATATAAGAAGTGCATTACAGAAAATTTTTGTATGATGCATATATGCACATATTATAAAATAGATTCATGTGTTTGTGAGTGTTCAAAACAACTTGCGTTTGTTCCTAGTGAACTTGAAATTTATAGTATTTTTGGGTGTGATAAGGTTATATGCACTTTTAGAATGTGCGTGTAAGAAGCGTATAAAAGAAAATCTTATCATGCATACACATAATGTAGCTTTCAATTTAATGAATGAAAATTTTGACAGGAATTTGTATTTGTTCCTTGCGAAATTAATGTATTTTTGGGTTTTCGGAGATTTGAGTATTTTTATTCTTTTAGTTATTTTATTTATATATAAAGAATTTTCTGTTTCTACCATGCCTAGGATTTTTACTGTAGAATTGTAATGTGTATAGATGCAATTCTATATTTAATTCTTAATATTTTCTCTTTTAGGAATTTATATTTTCTATGTATAATCAATTAGGTTACTTTTTTCTGATTTATATTACTTTACGAATATGTGTTTGATGCTTTTTTATTGGACACTCACGTTTATAATGCAGTTTTGTTTTAACATGGTCCTCATTTTGATTTGAGAAAAAAAAATTGAGCCTTTTTTTTTTTTTTTCCCAGTTTTATTTAATTGTTTTATTTCCATTTACAGCATTATTTATTTTCAGGTATTAATTAAGATTTTTTTATTTAAAAAAACCTTTGAAAATTCAAACTTCTGTCTTAATTTAAATACAGATTATCTTTCTCTTTTGGTTTGTTTCAAAAATCTGAAAGTACTAAATTTATGTTTTGCCAGAATTGTAATTATTTATGTTATTATAACTTGCAAGTTAATAGTTATGATCATGTCTGTTGTTAAGCTTGATTTCTTTGATAAATAGTTAAAGTTGAATTCCTTTACAGGTATTGATAATTGTTAGCCCAAAGGGCTATTAATTTCGTTTTGCCATTTTGCATTGAAAACTTTAAAAGGTTGTATCACATTTCAAATTGTTGCCACCAAATAGTATTCTCTGTTTTATATATAAAGAAGTTAAATAATGAACGGTATTTAGAGCCATGAAATATTGAATAACGTAGTCTTCCACTCGAATATGGGCATCTGGAAGCCCTAATTTGGAATTTGTTTTATTATCTATTTCATATTTTATAAAACTTTAAAGAATTTTTGGGTAAAGTGCAGAATCGCCTACTTATTTGACGAGTTTTGTTTGGCTCTTTTTATGAGATTAATAAGTGCGCCAAATGTTGTGTCCAAGTCGATTTTGCCGTTCTGGAAAAGCCCAATTTTCAGAGCATTTTCGTGCATGCGCAGTATGCATTTTAAATTGAGAATTTCTTTTGAGCGCGAAATTCGGAACATTTTCGTGTGTGCTCATATGTATTCTAAATTGAGAATTTCTGATTGGTGTAGACGAAAATAGATGGTAGATGTGCAGTTATATTAAACATTAATTTGAGAACATTTTGAGAATTCGTTACATTTCGTTCTTCGATTGAACTGAGTGGATTACCCCTTTTCAGGTTAATTAATTCTTTGTATAAATTTTTACAGGTACTCTCAAGGCCTCCAGTGATATTATTATTGTTGGAAATGTGAATGAATACATGTTGAAGTATGCTGAATACTCTGAAAGATTTATTGCCATGTTGCCTACTTTAGGAAAGAAAGCTGTTTTAGAATGGTGTATGAAAGAGGGGTTGATTGGATCATCGTATGCATGTCAAGATATGTGAAAAACTCATGTAAATGAGAGAAAAAAAGGGTCAAAAGACAGGAATCAGTCTAGTGTGAAAAAGGAAAGGCATGATGTGTGTAGGAATGTAAAAAAAGGTTCTTTGATTGGTTTGAGTAATTTGTATATGTGGTACAGTTTTATTAGTGATGCAAAGGGGGTTTGGAAAAGGTGCCCTCAGAAATATGAAATCGAATACCTGAATGTTTCTAAACACGCGGTAGTCGATTGGTAAAATTTCTGTAGGGAAATATGCATTCAATGTTATGGTGAGTTGCAAGATTGGAGGAGTGGGAAAGATTTTTGAGACTGATGAAAGTATTTGGGAAAACGAAGTATGGAAGAGGTAGGCCCTTGAAAGGAAGATGGATGTTCGGAGGAATTGAAAGAGATATAACCAAAGAATGTTTTTAGAGAGGTTGCGAATCGAGTGCCTGCTGGCTTGATGTAGTAAGTGAATGGGTGTTGCTTGGCACCACAATCATTTCCGACTGTTGGGCTGCTTATAAATGTCTGCAAGACGAACGATTTCGGCATTTAGAGGTAAACCACAGTTTGACATACCCATGGTAACAGGTGCGCATACGAATACGATTGAGAGTGAAGAAATGTTTGATTCATATCTGTACGAATTTATGTGGAGAAAACGTGATAATTCCTCCGTTAAAAATCACGTTTTTAAATCATTTCTTCCTTATATCGCAAGAATTTATCCCCCCCCCCCACTTTACAAGATACGACGCCCGAAGAAGAATTTTATGAAACACCTTTTGAGGACGATGTTTACGTTATCGATATTCCTGGGCCACATTAATAATAATTTAAACTCTTAAGTGGGCTGTTTTGGAGATACAACCTTTCTACTTCCTTGTACGAAGTAAAAAGGAAGTATTGTAATCGCGAAAAGTTTCAGGCAGCATATTTCAACGAAAATATATATCCATTTTGACCGCTATCGAATGCAATTTAATGATGTTTTTGCGTGATATCTGTACGTAAGAACAGAATAAAATACTCTTTTCCTCCAAAAAAATTATAAAGCTGCTTTAAAATGAATTCCGAAGAGAATTTTTCGTGGGGTCTGTACGAACGTATGTACATACGTATCTCGCATAACTCAAAAAACGAGTAGCCTCAGGACGTTGAAATTTGTATATAGGAACTGCTGTAACATGTAGATGTGCACCTCGTATTTTGCTTGCAATCGCCCGCACAAAACGTATATAATTATATTTACATATGCTATAACATGTACATGTGCACCTCGTATTTTGGTTGCAATCGGTCGCACAAAACGTATATAATTATATTTACATAGAAATTGTAATTGTATATATATCCACTCTGTTACCCGTCTCAGTGATGTCAGTTTCTTTACTCTTATATGTTTGTAAATTGTAAATTTTTTGCTTTAAAAATGATTGAATTATGTTCTTATCTTCCGGTTAAGGTTTTTATATAAATTTTTTGAATGGCCGGCCATTGCTTGTTTACATTTGAAACAGCAGAGTAGTGGATTTGTTGCCAATCTAGAGAAGCTTAAGCTTCGCAACAACAAAATAACGCCTTGATTTATTATTGCGAATTAAATCATGCTTTTAATCCTTTCTGGAATTTTTTCGATTTTTAAGATTCGTAATTTTTAATGCGGATATTTTGAGTTTTTATGTATTTTTGCCTTCTCGCGAAGTGAGAACTGGAATTAATTGAATGAGAAATACTCAATCGTCTGTGAAGAAAACTGTTCCTTTTTTGTTTTGTTTTCTTAATTTCTTTTATACATCGTTTTAGCTTTATTGTAGTATTTGAATAGAACATGTGGCAACGATTAGATAATTCTTTAAATGATATAAATTGTGCAATCTGAATTATAATATGAACGAAATATAATGCTGTTAATTGAACCTAACGCCAGAGTGTCACTATGGTAAACAAATAGAGTGAATTTTAAAGAATGCGTTTTGTTATGTTTTTGGAAGGATTGGATTTTTATTTTTAAAAAGTTTTTGCAAGTATTTTAATTTTTCACTGTTTTGTAACGGTTTTATGTGTTTGAAACTTATGTTTTTAAAACGATTTTTAGTTTTTAAAATTATGTTTTTGGAAGGACTGGATTTTCATTTTTTAAATTTTTTTAGGAGTAAAAGTATTAATTTTTTTTTTTTTTGGTAAGGATTTTATGTTTTTTATACCTACTATGTTTTTGAAACGATTTTAGATTTTAAAATTATTAGGTTTTTTGAAAGGATTTTCAGTTCTTAAAAAAAATTTATATGTGTATTTTAATTCTTCAGTGTTTTGTAACGATTTTAAGTTTTTGAAGCTTAGTATGTTTTCTTAACCATGTTTGTTTTTTAAAATTAATATGCTGTTTTTAAAGGTGTTTTTCAGTTGTCAAAATTTTGTTTCAACTTTATATTTTATATTTATTTTACCTGTTCGCCATTGTAAATGTCGCGCCTTCCGTAGTGTCTTCTGGAGGGGTTGCAAATCCAGGAGACAAGACACGAGAGCACGTCAAGCAGTGGGCGATTCTACACTTTCCCCGATTATTTTATTAAATTCAACCACCGGACGAAAAAAAAATGAAACCGTAAACTGTAAGTAATTTTCTCTTCCATAATTTAGTAAGAAATATTTTCACTGACCTGCATGGATATGCAGGAAGCATAAAAGTATATTTTGTCTATATGTTACTTTAAATATTTTATCTAAATTCTTTATGTTGTAGAAATACTCATATTAAACATTCTTACTTCAGTATAACTGAATTGTATACTACTGTGAGATGCTAGACGGAGAAAATAAATATGATGTTGGCAAATATAGATCACCAGAAGGAGAAAAGGGAATTTTTTTTCTCTTCTCTGTCGCCTGTTCTGCATATCCATCTTCTGCGTTTTCAGTATGATCCTTTTAACAGATCAGAACCTAAAAATTAGTGGCAGGTATGGGATTAATTTTTATCTTTGTTTAATGAAAATTTAATTTCAGAATACATTTTTTGTAAAATTAATTTTTGTATTTCTCAGATTTCCTGCAAGTATTACTTAAATATATTGTCCTTTTATTTTATTCCGAACATATTGCGTTTATGGGACTGCATATATCGGTATAACTCCTAAATGTTTCAGAATAATAATTCCATATATTAATCTCTGATCATGGAAAGTGATTTTTTGATGAATGAAATTTTACGTACCTCTTTCAAAGGCAATTGAGCTACTGAGACGTTAGACGGAGATAATAAATATGATGAGGCGAATAAGGTTCATAAGAAGCAGATTTTTTTTCTCTTCTGTACCACCTGTTCTGCATCCTGATCTTCTGAGTTGTCAGTATGATCCTTTAACTGATCAGAATTTAAAAATTAGTGAGAAGTATGGATATTAATTTTTATCTTTGTTTAATGGAAGTTTAATTTGAGAATACATTTTTTGTAAAATTTATTTTGAATATATTGTCCTTTTGTTTTATCCTAAATATATTGTGTTTATAACCCTGCATATATTACCATAACTTCTAAATGCTTTAGAATAATAATTCCATGTATTAAACGCCGATCATTTATAGTGGTTTTAAAATATGTTTAGTAAAGTCATTTTTTGATGAATGCAATTTTAGGTAATTAAACTGAATGAATCTCTTTCAATTATTAAATCTTTCAAAGACTATTGAGCTACTGAGATGCTAGATGGAGAAAATGAATACGATGTTGACGTATATGGATCACACAGAAGCGGAAATAAGAATTTTTTTCCTTTCTCTGCAGCGTGTTTTGCATCTCCATCTTCTGCGTTTTAAGTATGTTTTCTTTAACAGATCAGAATGTACACATTAGTGATAGGTATGGGTATTAATTTTTATCTTTGTTTAATGGAAGTTTTAATTTGAGAAAAAATTTTTGGTGAAATTAATTTTTGTTCTTCGCAGATTTCCTGCAAGTAGTACTTGAATGTATTGTCCTTTTATTTTATCCCAAATATAGTGTGTTTATAAGCCTGCATATATCACCATAACTCCTGATTGCTTTAGGTTAATAATTCCATATATTAAACTCTGATCATTTAAAGTGATTTTATAATATGTCTAGTAAAGTGATTTTTTGATTAGTGTAATTTTAGGTAATTAAACTGAAATCTCTTTCAAAGACTAAACTACTGAGATGTTGGATGGAGAAGATAAATATGATGTCGGCGAATATGGATCAATTGAAGCAGATTTCTTTCTCTTCTCTGCCGCCTGTTCTTCATCTCGATCTTCTGAGTTTTCAGTATGATTCTTTAACAGATCAGAATGTAAATATTGTGACAGGTACGGGTATTAATTTTTATATTTGTTTAATGGAAGTTTAATGTGAGAATACATTTTTTGTAAAATTAATTTTTGTACTTCTCAGGTTTCCTGCAAGTAATTACTTGAATATATTCTCCTTTTATTTTATCCTAAATATATTGTGTTTATAACCTTGCATATATCATCTAACTCCTAAATGCTTTAGAATAATAATTCCATATATTAGACTCTTGTAAATTAAAGGAATTTTAAAGTATGTTTAGTAAAGTAATTTTTTGAGGAATGAAATTTTACGTAATTAAACTGAAATCTGTTTGTAATTAGTATACAGTCTGACTGGGTTAATTTCTAGATAAATTCTAGTCTGACTGTGTTATATTCTAGACAAATTCAGTAGATAAATTGAAATTACCTGTATTATTTTTGATGTAGTTCCATTCCTAAAATATACTAGTCTTATATGACTGAAAACTTACAAATCTGGAGTGTAGGATTTTATTGGCTAGTTCTTGGATTATTGTTCGAACTGCTTAAGTAACGGCTGTCTGTGTGAAATCTTTTTCCAGAATGCTCTTTCAGGCGAAAATCACACGGAACGATGTCAGAAGACAAATACGGCAGTACCTGTTATTATTGCAGCTGTTAGTAACCGTCACAGTTTTGGTCGTCATACAGGATGGTGTTGTGATATAGCAAAATGACACATATACTGAACTCAATCTTGTATGTGATTTCTGAATGGCTTTATGCATTTTATCCTAAAATAGCATGTAGTAGAATTTATGTACAATAACTGGCTATTCAAAATTGGGTACTGTTCTGTATTAGGGCCGTAAGAAAATTGCAGCGAAAATGTATGCGCAAAAGCGCCAAATCTAGCAAACGCGCCCATTTAACAGCGCGCTAAATCTAGCGTCCGCGTTGATTTATATAGTTCTATATTTCTTAAGACAGCATCGAAATGCTAGTTTAATTTTTAAATCCTTTTTTGATATCCTATGGATTTAACAATTTGGGAATTGCCCATGACGAAAAGTCGGCAATAGAATTTTGGGTAAAGTGCAGAATCACCCCTTGCCTCACGCTTTTTTAAGAATTGCACATACTCGGTATCCATGTGCACATCGACCTATTTTCACTTAAAAAAAAATCCTAGAATTGCACAAAAATGCCCCTGCGTACACCCTGACTTTATCTGTGTACACATCGACCTATATTTTCACTTAAAAAGTAAAAGAAAATTGACAGAAATCCGATTGTTTTTACCCTTGTAAAAAGCGGCAAACAAATAAGTGAGTGAGTGATTCTGCACTTTACCGAGAATATTTTCAAAGAAAAGGCATCATTCATTATAGAAAATTACATTTGAACAACCAACGAGATGAAATTATGCTTTAGCGATAAGTCCGTAGCGAAATAGCGATGCAGGCATCCATTCAGTTATGTTAGCAATTTTTATATAAATTATAATATAGATCTGAAATAGTTATTTACTGTTATGCTTCCATTCAGTCATGTTTAGCCTTTTTCATATAAATTATAATGATAAAAAAGTATTATATGAAATTAACCTACCTTTCATCTAAATTAAAACATCAATATTAGATAGTTATTTACTATTATACTTCCTTTCTAGCCGCAATTCTTTTTGGCAGCATTGGCATCAACAATAATTTGGCGATTTTTTACGGTTTCTAAACCGAATAGTACCCAAAATTGTTAGCTTCACAGTATACGAATTCTCTCATAATGCCTTTTGCCTAATGTTCCTAAGTTACCTACCATAGATAAACGACTTTCGCTAATACGGATGAGCTTGCCTACAGTAAGTATTTCAATTACATTATGGATGTCGACTGGAATTTTGGTAAATATAAGTTTTCTTTCACCAAAAATTTTATTTACATGTGTTGTTCCTACACTAGAGTTAACTGGTTCAATGCGTTCTTGAAAAACACAACTCTGCAGAATGATATATTTGTAGTTTCCACCATTAGGTGTCAGATACCTAATTTTCTTTTAGCCCAAAGGTCATTAACCCAGAAGGGCAATTAATTTCATTTTGGCATTTTGCAACGAAAACTTTAAAGTCTGAATCACTTTTTAAAATTGTTGCCACCAAATATTATCACCCTGAATTATAATTAAAGAAATTAAATAATAAAGAATCTGCATAAGTGTATGTATGTATGTTTCTTGCACAGTGATAAAATAACGGTACCTAGAGCCATCCAATTTGGGCATCTGGAAGCTCAAATTTGGGGGGGGGGAACAATTATCATCTATTTCTTATTTTCATTCATTTATGTGGTTTTGCTCAAGAAACTCAACGATTTCAAAGCGAGTAATGGCAACACTGTACTAAAAAAGAAACGTTTTTACTTGCAGTACTCGAGACTGTGTATCGGAAATTCGAAAGATATGCTGTTTTAAATGTTTTGTGATATTTATTTATTTTCATCAGATGAGCTGCTTCACTGCCTTTAAGACATTCAGCTTTTATGCTCAACTGATGGCATCATCTACCAACTGCTATACCCACCCTCGGGAGCAGGTCGGCGATCAGCGGCGCTTATTAAACAAATATCGTATACAGAATACACATATTGATAAATAAAATAATAGTGCCAATTTTACAATAGTAATTCAGATTATATGTTGCATGCATTTTTTAAAAAAAATTGCTTAATTCCTAAATACAAATATAATTTTTATATATAAAATTCAATACAGTTTTAGAACTTTGATAATTACATAATAAAAATTAAATATAAAGAAATATGTGCATAAATAGATACAATAAATAAAAATTTAGAATTAGATGAATGCCTAACTGCAATAATGAATGTTGTTATATCTGAATCAATATAGTAACAGAATTTTGAAAATTTAAAAAAAAATAATTATTTGAATACTTAATACCTTAATAAATATGTAAGTAAATGAAACATAAATGCAGAAGTAAATATGTAAGAAGATCATTACAAATTAAGAAAATGATGTACATAATGTATAAGAATAGTGAGAGCTGATAATATAAGTTATTGGTAAAGAGTTTAGTTTTTGATTAGAGAGTTCTTGAGTGAAAAGTAGTAGTTCTTGAATAAAAGTTGAGGAAAAACAGTTTTTGAGTGAATTTTGATGACTTGAATAAAAAGTTCTTGATAGAGAGTAATTCTTGACTAATAATCTTGAGCTGATGCTTGATTAATGTATTAGGGAGATGGAGTTGAAAAATTTTCTTAAATTCTTGAATCTTCTGTGAATGATTAGGCTTCACTTGAATTTATTAACATTATTGTTTTTAATGATTTTTAGATGTTCTTAATTTAGGAGAATGATCTATAATAAAAATTTTGACTAGGGATGAGAATGGAGATGAGCTTGGGAGATCTTGAAGATGTACTTAAATAAGGATGGTCTTGAGTGGAAGCATGGAAATACATTCTTAAGAAGCAAGTAGCTAAAAGGAGGTAGCAAAAAGGTTCGTGTATTAAGTAAGGTAAATGAACATAGAAAATATGATTTTAACTTCCTTAAAGATTATCGATGTTTGCGGAGATATAATTTATTTTAATTTGAAGTTGAATTCTTAGAATATTACTTTTTATTAATTGTTGAAACCATAACTAAACAGAAGTTAAATTGTATGCTTTAAGGTGATAATCTTTGGTAAGGTTGCAAAGAGACAATGATCTATTGTGCCTTCATACCCACAGGTACAGAGATTTGTATGGTGTAGTCTGAATCATTGAAAATATTCTGTTAATGGACCATGATCTGTTAGGAAAAATGTAATTGAACGGTTGGTAGATAATAATGATGTGGAAGGATAGGAAAGTAAAAGTTCTGCCGGTTGTTGCTTGAGTCCAGTTTTGCTTCCGTAAGTACATTAGGTCTATTTCTAATTTTGCTTTTAGTAATGATATTAGATAAGGAACTGAGTAAATTGGAAGGGAAGAAATGTTAGCTGCCTCTTTTGCTAGTTCATCTGCGAGCTCATTGCCACTATTACTGATGTGTGCTTTAATCCATTTGAAATGTGGTCTATTGTTTTGAAACTTAGAGAGTAGATTATGAATTTCTGATACAATAGGCGATCGACTATGTCCAATTATGCCTTGGATACTAGATGCACTGTCAGAGAGGATTGAGGATGCTATGGAAAGTTCTTTTGTGAAGGATATGGCTTCTTTGATTGCGAGAAATTTGAGTTGTTATTTAAATGAATATTGCAGTTTCTAGTATTTGATATTTTTCGGAATACGCAATATGCATTACCGACGCGTGCTTCAGATTTCAAACCATCAGTATAGAACATGGGTATCTAAATGACCGTTTGAAGGCCGGATTGCAAAGAAAAAAAAAATGCACACATGCAATATTTTTTAACAAATTTAAGCGAAAGTTAGCTCTATGTTGTTTTATTAAAATAAATTAACTTATTTTTATTATTATTTTTTTAAAATTTGAATTAGATATGTATAGGTACATATTTATTATTAATTTGTAAAAGTTTCATTTCATTTAGTTTGGATTTCATAAAGATGGAAAAAATTAATGAGATGGTTTGTTGAACAAGCAAATCAATATTGGGTTCAGCAGACGAGGTTGCAATTCTAATGCATTTTCAAGATGTTTGGCAGGATCTTTGTACTATTTTTATTTATTGTATGCTTCATTCTTGAAAAAAATTGTTCACAAATATAAGTACTACCAAAAGCTGAAGACATTAATAAACCATGATTGTGAAAATTAGGATATTTATTGCGGGGTAGGTAATCTTTATAAAACTTAGTAAAGAAACATTTTCAAATTTTTCTTTCAGTTGAATGTCACTTTTTTTGCAATTCAATGTGTTCCTTTTGAAGATTTGAAGGTAATTTACTTATCTCCATAGAAAATGGTTTAAAAAATATGTTGAAATACTCTTAATTTTTTCGATCTTGAAATTTACTTTCAAACTGTTGAATTAAATCAAAAATTAATGCAGCAAATTTTGCATATTTTGTGCAACTCACAGGTTTATGTGCAGCCAAAGTACTGAAATGTGTCAAATCTTTGATTTTGTCCAAATGTTTTGGAACATATTATTAATAAGTTTTTTTTTTTTTAAATTGAAGTCTCAAATTTAAATCATTCAAATGTTCTGTTAAGTCTACTAAGAAAGCTAAATCTAAAACCCAATCTTCATCTTCAAACAGGTTTCCCTTTTGTTTCCATAAATACTTTTATTTCTGTTCTTAAATCGTAAAATCTTTTGAGCATTTTCCCCTTATTGAGCCATCTCACTTCTGTATAATAAATAACATCTTCAAATTCGGTGTCCATTACCTTAAGAAAATCTTGAAATTGTCTATGATTAAGCCCTTTTGCTCTTATAAATTTAATGGTTTTTATTTTAAAATTGTTTTCCACATAAATTGCCCTGATGTACAATACATTGATATGCCATTAAGGTCATATTGCCGGCAGCGACGGCTTCATTATTAACCATTTTTACGATTCCCCCATTTTTACCAATAATGGCAAGGGCCTCATCGGTTATGATAGCTGATAAATTTTTCATTGATAAGGAAAACATTTGCATCTTCGTTTTTAATGCATCGAAAAAATGTGCAGACTTGGTTGTGCTCTTTAAAGCAACCATTTTCTTCCGTGATACTAAAATGTTCATCGATTCCTCTGATAAAGATTGCCAATTGTGCCAGTGCTTTTCGTCCATGGCTAACGAATGATTCATTTGCTTTTTAAAGACTTGAACTGAATTTCCCAACTCGTGAATTCTTGTGGCTGTAGATTGGTGTGATAAACTGATTTTAGAAAAATCTTTTTTTTTTTTTTTTTAAGGGACAGATTATGTTTGCTATGCTTTCCATACATTCTTTTATAAATTCACCATCAATGAAGGGTTTTAATTTTTTCGCTATTAAATTTGCTACGACATGACTTGCTTTTGCAATGTTATTATTTTTAGTACCTGTCTTTTTTAAAAAAAATTGTTCAGATAATATCCCTTTTTTTAGTTCTGTTATTTTACCTGTAGGGCAAATGCCCAGATATACATCATATTTTTTAATCTTCAATTTTTCTTTTTTTATGTTCTGCTTGTATTTATGACATGGAGACCATCTAAAAAATAATATAATATTTAAATTTTTTATAAATAAGTATCCATAATGAATGTGAAGTATTCATACTCTTTTAATAATTTGATAAAGAATTAGAAACTTAAAATACAATGCAATATACTGCATACAAATATTGTTATTTGTCGAAAATTTGTATACATATTTAAAATTTTTAAAAGTTTAACGACGGCAAAAAGACATTGGCAGTTAACGGTTGATTATTTTTGGAAATATAAAATTGAGTGGATACACACATAATTCAAAACGTAAATTCTCATGTGTGGTAAAATATACCACACGGCGCGGTAGGATGTATTTAAATATTTTACAAGTTTTGTGAATTGCAAAAGTATAAATTTGAATTACATTCTAATTAATTTGTATAGCTAATAATATGAACTTGTACTTATTATTATTTATAAACCTGAAATTCTGGTCTCCAAATGACATTTCCCGCCAAGAATGAAAGAAGCAATAGGTACCTCACTTTGCTTAAAAATTTCAACTACATAATGCTTTACATTTTGTAGTTGAAATGTTTAAGATGAAAGTTATAAGTCCAGTTGCTGAAAGTTTTTAAAGAATAACTAGAGTTGATTTCTATTAATTTCCGGCTGCTTACGGTGACAATGAGAAGAAAATCACCTGCATATTCTTGGATATGGCTATGATTAATATTGTCACAATAGTTTTAAAACTTCGTTGTGCTACGAGATTCCAAAATGTAGGGCTTCCTTAATAATTCTTAATAAGATCCTTAATAATATTAAGGCTTCTTAATTAATTATTAATTAATTCTTAATTAATAATATTAAGGCTTCTTAATAAGATCCTTCAGGGCAATCTTTTGTTAATTTGTAATTTATTACACTAAAATCGGAAGAGTATTGTAGAGTTCAATTGCATAGGTAGTCTTTGATTATATGAAGGATATCATGAGGGCATGATATTATTTCTAGAACTTTTATGATGTCTTTCGAGCGGATGGAATCGAAGGCTGCTTGAATATTTGTGGAAATTATTATTGAATGAATATTCTTTGATTCGTTCATCTTTAAGATTTCTTGCATTTTTTTAAGAGCTTGATCTGTTGATTTATTTGGTGTAAGTCTTGAAAGGATTAGTTTTTCAAGGAGTTTGTCCAACGTGGGACGAACTTTTCTTTCTTTCTTTTTTTTTTTTCCTCTTGAGGAGTAAAACAACTTCTCCATTTAATATATTAGGAAATGTTAAGTTATTCCAACAGGCGTTAATGAATAATTTAATAATTTCTTGATTATTGTAAAAAATAAGTTTTAAGATGGTGATGTCGATTCTATCGGGACCTGGTTTTTTTTTATTTAGTCTTTTGATGATATCTTGCAGTTCGTCGATGCTTGGAGGGATGATAACTGTTGACTGATTAGGACGATATGTCGAAGAACTGTTAGATGCTTTTGTATCTGTGATGGGATTCGATCCATTTTCATCTTGAGTTTTGATAAAATTTTTAACATAGCCTGAGAAGAGGAAACTGATTCAGAGAAGCTGCACGTTGATAATAAATGAGGAGTGAACATTTTATTGTGCGCTATTTTGAAGGCGGAATCATAAATTTTGGAGGTAGGAAGTGAAAAATATTTTCCAACTTCTACATGATACTTCTTTTATATTGCTTTTTGAAATGCTACTTTATAGTCTGTTCTTTCCTGTACCTTCTATACAGCTTCGTATCTTCTTCTGAGACATCTTACTTTTTTTCTTTCTTTTGCAAGATTTGGGTTCCACCATGGAATATTTAATCTTTTGGTAGTTGAGCCTTGTTTATATGAGGCGTAGTAGATCTGTATTATGTTAGACTAGAAGAGAAACACGCTAATGTGACAATCAAAATCGTAAAAACGAGCTTGTATTTAGCGTAGGTATAATGAAACACAATCGATTTCGAGGGCATCTTAAGGGTCCCTCCTCATCAGGAGAAAGAAATAGCTAGAAAGAAGAAAATAAAGGAGAAGGAGTCACAGAAACACGTGGTCCTTATCAGCACTGCACGTGGTTATAACTAGATTTTTAATCATTGTTGTACTGGCCGCCTACTTTTACTGAGCCAGGCTATCTGATCAAGCATAAAGGACAAGAAAAAGATTATCGAACTTAATATAGATAGCCTGGCTCAGTAAAAGTAGGCGGCCAGTGCAACTCTGATTAAAAATCTAGTTATAACCACGTGCAGTGCTGATAAGGACCACATGTTTCTGTGACTCCTTCTCCTTTATTTTCTTCTTTCTAGCTATTTCTTTCTCCTGATGAGGAGGGACCCTTAGCTGCCCTCGAAATCGATTGAGTGTTTCATTATACCTACGCTAAATACAAGGTTGTTTTTACGATTTTGACTGTATTTGTATTATGTTATTTATGAGGTATGAAACAAAGGTATTAATCTCCATTTTTTAGGAATGAAGAATATTGACAGTTTTTTTGTAGATTCAATAGAAATTTTTGTGTCCTCCGAATTGGGCTTTGAAGCGACGCTTCTTAATTACAGTGAAATCGGATTGTATTTCAAAGGTGATGAATAAGTGGTCACTAAAAGATTCTATTTGAGAAACTTTCCTATGTGAGATTAAGGTTGCTATTTTAAGCATTGTGAGAGTTAAGTCAATCCAACCTTGTGCTCTTAATAGTAGCTCTTAATAGTGGACTTAACGTAGGTGGACAGTTTGCGTTATTTAAAATTGTAAGGCTTTTGTCTTGAATACATTCTAAAAGTCTACCTCGGTTATTTTCTACCGGCGCTCTCCAAACAGGGCTATGTGCACTAAAGATTTCTGCAATGAATATGGTTTGAATTTGAAATCAGTTGAATTGATTCCAGTTCTATAAGTATCTGTTGCAAGTCTATTGACGGAGGAGCATAAAAATAGAAGTACAAAATAAAGGATGAATTAGGAATTCTAATTTGATAGTTGTTGTTTGTAGAGTAGTTTGAACTATTGGAGTTAGAAGGCTAATATACATTTTAGCAGATTTTTGAGAATGTGAAAGTTGAGAAAATAGTCCTGATGGAATTTTCAATTTCCTTGTTGAGGAAATATATGGTTCTTGTGCAAAGATGATACTGACATTTTCTTCTGCAAACTGTAAAGCATCTGGTAAAGTGGCATGCGCTCTTTTTGTAAATTTATTCGTAATATTCTTATTCTTTCTATGAGAATCCATTAGTAGTATTGTCTTGATTTAGTTTTGGAGACTTCTAATTGATAAGAAGGGCACTGAACATCATTTGTTAAAATAAAAATTATGAATAGTGTAATAGGATTTTAACTTGACAGTTAATGCAGGTAGGAGCTGGAGCTTGTCATTGCGAGATTTTGTAGATTCTGATCTTTCTGAAATTTTGAAAATTGGGGCAGAAGAGTGGATAAGTCTATTATCGAAGATACTGAACCAGAACTATCTTTACCTGTGTAATTGGTTGGAACATTGTGAAGGTTACATCTAAGGAGTGTGGGTAAAGAGATTAGTAGAGAAATATTATCTGTTGGACTAATATTGTTGTTTTAAGGAATTTGACATCATTGTAAGATTCGCAAGTGACAACCAGGCCTTTTCTTATTTTTTTCTAATTTTTTGTTTCAAGTTGTTTAGTGGTACGTAGTGATCCAAATCATCTAAAAGTGTTTCAGTCATATTATTTTCTTTTGGAAGGATGATGAGTGCTGATTTTTTATTTTTGTAATCGTTGAATAATATTTTGAGTGTTAATTGGAGTTGAATGTGTATGGTAGTTTGATCTCATATGCAGATGATCTTGATGAAAATTAACAGTTTTGTGTTTCATTTAAATGATAATTAGGAATCAATTATTGCTGATTTATTGAGTTTTATTTCTTTTTTCTTCTTGAGATTGGGGACACTGAATAGATGGTCCCGATTTGTCTTGCGTAGTAATCTTTGTAAGTTTCTGGAGACAGGATAGATGGTGTGACTTGGCGTGATTTATATTTTCAATAAATTTCATGGCAGTTTTTCATTGATTGTCCAAAATTTGTATTATTTGATTTTTAAACTTTAATGGAATTGTGTTCTTATCACCTCTTTTGGATTTTATAAGTTTAAAACCTTTCTTGTAATAGGATTCGATGACCTTCTTTTGGCTGACGATGAGATCTTCAGGATTTTCGAGTTTGCCTGTTTAATACTCCATATCTAATTCTGAATTTGTGTGAAATATCAATCGAATTGTTATTTATTATAAAATAATTGAGATTTAGAGAATCAAAATAAAAAAGAAGTAATAAGCTGAAGTTTTGTAAAATTGAAATTTTGAAACGAAAGAGCCTGTGCTTTCTACTGTTAAAATGTAAATAGGAAATTTTTCTTTTGTTTTAATATTTAAAGTGTTGCCAACCTCAGAAAATTATATTATTTCTAAAAATAATTTTATAATGAGATTATTTTATAATTAAGGATATTAACAATTTTATTTATTAAATGGCTGTATTATTGCATGTGCTTAGTTAGTAATCAGTATTGTTGTTGTCATTCCTTCTCTTTTTTAGATGTCATATTGACAAGGAATTGGATCTGAAACTGAGGACGGAGAAAGTAACGGGTGCTGTTGAATATGTTTAATAAACTTTTTTTTGAAAAAAAAACTTATGTCTACACTGATTTCTCTTTTAACCTTTAAATGCAGATCCATGCAAAGTAATAAAGTACTAAAAAAAGTGTTTTAAGATGAAATTGTTAAGGATGTAATTGTTTTGAATCTAACAAAGTTTATTCACTGAACCTCAGCTTTTGCATTTTGATAATGTTTTGATTATTTTCGCAATAAAGAGAATGAATTAAAGAGCAAAAATTTATTTTTAAGAAATTACCGTACCAATAATGCCGTAAAGAGTAATACCACTGTGAAGCAGGAACATTTATTTTTTTATCATGATGAAGTATATGATTCTTATGCAATTTACGTAAAGGTGAACTATTGGGTTTTGTGTAAGTATAATAATAAAATCAAAGTCACATGCATACAGTAAAAGATTTCTCAATATTTGAGTAATTTTTGATGAGGCGTGATTTGGGAAATGATTAAATTAGATTTTACACAAAATGTAAGCACACAAATTCGTTATTGAACTGTTATCGAAATAAATTATAATGATCACATTTCGCTTAAAACGAGTACACAGGCGATGCATTTAAGGGTTAAAAGGACGTATGTTTATATACAAGTAAGTACTTTTATTCTTTTTGCATTGATATTCATATGTCCACTATAAAACATGCTATCATGATTAAGCTTTTGTGAGAATGTCGTTTTCAAAACACGTAAAAAATATTTAATTAAACTTAACAGTAAATTTTTGAGGAAATTGTATTTTTCAAAATATATGAAATTATAATTTAATGAAAGAATAACTGGAATTTAATCTTAATAAAATCTGTTCATAAGTATGCGAGCGAAGTGATTTTTATGAAAGAACCAGTCACATATCTAGAAACTGTTTACTTATGGTAGCATGTTGGGACTATCTAACACTTGCATGCTGGCTGTACTAATGCCTCATATTTAAATTGTCCCCCTCGCTCGTTTGCATTTTAAGCAGAATATTTCCATGCAGAAGGCTCCCACTTTAAGCCTTCGTGGCAGGGTTTGTTGTTTTCCCCCCCTCCAGCTCTAGTGTTCCCCGCGATTAGCGTTTTTTGCCCCTCGTCGGCGTGAGACTACGGTTAGCGTGTTTGGCCCCTGCGGGGAGACTATGTGCGCGCCTTCGGCGCGCACCAGGAGGGGGGCCAAACACACAAACCGGGGACTTTGCCTAAACCGACTGATCGCCATCACCTCACTGCGGCTTCGCCGCACTGCGGTCGATGCGATCACTATATTCCAAAAACAAGTTATGGCAATTCTAAAAAGTTTTGTGATACACTGCTTCTACAACTCTTTATTCTCATAAAAATTTCGATTCCATTTCAAAAATTATAGCAAGCACAACTCTTTCTGAGTGCTCCCGTTACAGTTTCCGAAAGAACATTCACATTTATTCAACTCTATTTACATTTGTTGAATTTGCTTAACAGTTTGATGTAACTCTCATAGCTTTCTCACCGTTGAATTAGAACAATATCCGATAAAGTATTTCAACTTTTCATTCCACTTTCAAAGGTGGTGTAAGCATTTTCCACTAATTATTTAAAAGTTTATTTCCTTGACCAGACTTTATTTTCATTCCTTTTTTTTTCTCAGAAAGAAACTGCATTCATTTACTTCTTTTTTCCACTCTGTTTGCATCTGAAAGAAACCCTGAACAGATAAGGGACACTGTGTTCATTCTTTACTTCTGCGTGACGCACATAAAAGCTGCATTGAAATGCGCTTCGTTACTGGCGTTTGGTACCGAATTCACGCCCTTTTTTTGACTCTTTTCGAACCTGTTATGAATTCATTTCCATGCCATTGTCAATTCTAATGATTTCCTCATCCTCTGTCGACCCTGCGTACTTGTTTCCTTGTGTGTTTTGAATGAATTGTCGTTCAGTTCTGCGCGTCGTCAAACTCATTTCCTCCCTGTACATTCGATATTCTGTGAACAATTCTATTTTCTTTTCACTTCCACATGACATGTAGATCGAAGTAGTTAACTAAAAAAAGAGAGGGACACTGCATTCTACACTCTTTCATTTCCTCCCTGTACATTCAATACTCTGTGAAGAAGACCAAACGTCAGTTTAAGAAAGTTTTCCATGTAATGATCACGAACTGTTGATTAAAACTGACCTCAACAGTTTAGGTTCATTTATTTACTAGATTTTGCACTGAATAAATATTAATTTCTATGCCTCTGTTCCTGTACTTCCACTTATCTTATCTTTATTTACTTCTCTTATTTTGTGAGGCTACTTCCCCCCCCCCCACACACACACACATTTTCTTCTGCAAAAGAGAATTTTTCGCCTTCTGTTTTTACATGTTCTTGTACGCGTTTTACTCATCGCTGAGATTCCTGTTATTTATTCCCATGTCCGTATTTTGATTAATTAAAGATTTCATTTTATTTTATTGGGTGTCTAGCCATTAATAAGACCTCACAATTTCTTAATCCCGTTTCTGTTTCTTTCTTTCTTTATTAAGATGTTCTTAAATAAGCAATTCATTTCCTTTTTTCGTTTAGGTAATACTGCGGCTACCTGCATGAGGGACGGACGTCTGTTATGCATGTTACAAATTCATGAAACCAATATTCAGCGATCCGACCGCTGCGCCGCCAGTTTCCCTGTAAGATTTCTTTTTATTTAATTAAAATTTTCGTAACATACATGAATGAATTCCATCGGATATTTTTTAGGATAATTCATTTCGGTTCATATTTTTTTTTTAATTTAAATTTTCGTTACATACCTGATTAGGTTTCATCACAGTTTTTTGCTTATAATTAATTTATTTGTGTACGAATTTTTTTTAACACCTAACACATTCATTTTGTATATGTATTACTTATTTTTTCATACATATTTTCATTTCATTTCAACGTTACGCTTTTTCTGGCAACCTTTTAACACGTTTTCGCTCAATTTAATTTTGGAAACCAAACGTGTAAGGACGCAGGTATGTGGCTCTTTTGTTCATTCATTTTCATCACGAATGCTCAGCTTTTTGGTCTTTACGGGACCCCTCATTCTCTTCATTTTTTTTTTATTTTTTTTTAAAATAGAATACAGTTTTTATTTTTTGCGCTTACGGGCTAGTCCCTTAAAATACTGTTTATAATCTAAAATACTGTTTTCTAACTTTTTAAGTTCACTTCTGTGTTTTCTGACGCGCAGGCCATGTTGGGAAAAGGGACAGATCATTTGAGACATCGTTAATAATAAATAGAAATAATTAATTTCAAACTTTTACTTACATTTCATACTGGGAAAGCCAATTACAGTCTCAATGGACCTGTCCAACGATTTTTTCGCCTACCTATTTTGAGTTTGCTGTGCAGTTGTCCTTCTGTAATATGTAGGGTTTTTTTTTTCGAGTGCAATTTGTTGTTTTAACATAGATTGAACTTTGCATAACATGTAATCTCTAGAATAGGATTCTCCAAATGTTCCTTACAGTTTTTTCATCAACTCGATCATAATATATACATACATATATGTATATATTATGATAAGAAAAGTTGTGAGAGCGATAATTACAACATATGGATATTCAGTAGTTTTCACAAGTTCGAATAAAAATAGATAGATAGATAGATAGATAGAGACAGACACATAGATAGACAGAGTTAGACAGATAGATAGATAGATAGATAGATAGAGTTAGATAGACAGATAGATAGATAGACAGACATATATATATATAGATAGATAGATAGATAGATAGTTAGACAGACAGATAGATAGATAGAGTCAGACAGATAGATAGAGAGATAGGTAGATAGAGTTAGATAGACAGACAGACAGACAGATAGATAGATAAACAGACAGACAGATAGATAGATAGACAGACAGACACAGATAGATAGAGAGTGAGTGAGTGAGTGAGAGAGAGAGCATGTATATAGATGTGTTTTTTGTGTTTGATTAAATTTCTATTGAACTATTTATTGATTTATTGCATGTGTGAAATCCCGAAAATCTGTGATAGTAGCCTTACATATCACATATGCGTTTCCCTCCTTCTAACATTCCTATTCCAATAATACTAACAATTAATGTAACTCCTTCTAACAATTAATGTGTTCATATAGATGTGTGTGTATTCAATTTAATTTCTATTTAAATATTTATTGAATGAGTGCAAGTGCAGCTATGAAATCCCGAGTATGTGCTGTGAAAGTAGCCTTACATTTTACATACGTGTTTCCCTCCCTGTTACATGTTCTTTATATGTATATTTCTACTTTATTTATGTTCTTTTAATTTCAAAATTATAATGTGTGTAGCATGTGTTTATATAGATGTGTGTATATTCAGTTAAATTCCTATTTAAGTATTTATTGAATTTGTGCATTTGTGTCTCCCTCCCTGTAACATGCTTGTTTTCAGTTTTATTTATTTGTGTTCATTTACATTCAACTTTATTTTATGCCTTCGTGGAGGACTTCTCACATAAAATACAAAAATGACTTGAAAAAACTGGTCCGTATTTACGTGACACATGAGGGAAACCACGAAAACCCCATGCAACCAGTCTGTTCAATCATTATGCATAAATTTATAGCATAAAAACAAAAACTCAAAACTAAAAGTTTCGCGTTAAACAAGAAAGCATGCAATTTTTTAAAACATATTAAGCAATAAAATAATAAGCGATCAAAGCAAGTCTGACGCTTGTCAAGTTCACATAAAATATACAATCAATTAAAAAAAAAAACACTCAAAACTTTAAAAGTTTCGCGTTAAACAAGAAAGCATATTAAGCACTAAAATAATAAGCGATCAAAGCAAGTCTGACGCTTGTCAAGTTCACATAAAAATGTACAATCAATTAAAAAAATACGCTGATAACTAAATTAGTTAAGCGTCAAAATATACATATATACAAGAAATTACACATGAAAACACTTTAAAAAAATTACATACTAAATTACAAAAAAATTTACAATCGGGTGGAAGTTGCGGTTGCTGATCGGTAACACTTCCCCAATGTCTTAAACAGAAAAAAGAGAAGTGAAACTATTGCCGCCGAACTTG